AATTTTTTTCTAGTACACATAGAATAAATTTAATTTAAATGTGAAAATTTCTCCAACAAATGATACATATCCATTAAGGGTGGAACTGTCGTTTAAAAAAAATAGAAAATAGAGCACTTAGATGATTCTCTCTTATAATTTATGTTATTTTACGTCTGACTTATGGTCTTCATTAATAAAAAAGATGATGGTAGAAGAACAGAAATGCCGAACTTTCGTTTGCCTGGCGATTCGTAGACGTCTTGTTCGAGGAAACTCGATCGATCTGTTTTTCATCTGACGCAACTTCCCCCAGTAATGTCCGTAGTCTGATGAAGCTATAGCTTGATCGTTACTCGAGAGTCATTATAGCACCGACTGTTATAATAAAATTTTATAGATAAATAATTATCATTAAAAGCAAATTCCATTAGTAGCAGAATTTATACAAGTAATATATTGTGCCAGATCTTATTTTAATTAAAATATAATAATTAATCGTTCCTCGAGTGAATACACGTTTGGAAAATCGAATAAATGAAATTTTCCTCAAATCAAATATAGCATGATTAATAGCAATAATTAAGAATGTTTAAACAAGTTAATACAAAATAAACAGATGTTGTGAGCAACATCAGCCTAAGAAAGTTCCACTTTCGAATTGCAATTAACAGTTATATCTTCTTCTTCTTCTGTCTTCTTTCTTGCTAGGCCGGAACTTGTTTCCTTCAGCAACTTCCTCGGTTAATTCCATATCCAAGTTGTCACTCCATCTTTTCTGCGGTCTACCAGCACTTCTTTTATCGGTTGGTGATTTATCTCTGGTAATTTTCACAACCCTCCTCCCTACCATTCTGTTTATATGTTTGTTTCATCCCTGTTTCCGTTTGTACATCCGGTCGATAATATTCTCTACATTGCATTTCCTCTTGATATTTTCATTTATTTACACTTTTTCCTGATAATTTTCATTCTTGTATTTTTGAAAAATTTTCTATCTTAGACTCCTTTATAATATTTTTGAAATTTTAATGTTATCAGTCCATACTGATCATGGTATTGAATCATGGTGTTTTACTTACTTTCATATCTTCTTCGACAGTTCGTGTTCTTATGGTTTCGCTTGCCACATTTTCGACGTCTCTTTTGGCTTTTCTCCAGCTCTGAGAAGTACTTGTCCTCCTCTTTAACACTCTGCTACCCTTGTTGGGTAGAATTGTTTGATCCTTTTCGAAATGATCCAATAGCAAATTGTTCTGAATCTGATTATAATTAATACTTCACCTAGATTTTTATTGATAAGTTGTTAAATCAATTAACAATTTTTCGATTATTATAAATTGACCTATAACTCGGTTGACATAATAAAAATGAGATATTCTTTAATTAAGAGAAGATCGAAATGAAAAATTATACGGTGGAGAAATCTCCCGAGCAGGACAAGTTACACACCTACGAGAAAGGATGAACGGTTACGTAAGTCCGTAATATTTGGGCTAGAACCGCGAAATGATGCAAGCGGACGATTCACGGCCACAAATCCGGAATCTGAAGTTCCCAGGCACTCATGGACATCCTCTATCCGGATATCCTATACACCGCTAAACACAATGCACACCGTCTGCTATTTCTGGCTGTTCGCCATTGTCGATAACCTTTGCATTGTCGACCCGATGATGGGAGTAGCAAGATAGGAATACCGTCTGTTGTCGACGATTCGTGAAATCGGTCGAAATTCGTGAAATCGCTCCTTAGCAAGGATGCAAAAAAGGTCGAAGGTCGGCTGGTGAAGTCTGGCCACGGTTAATGGAAAATGGCTAGCAAATAGGCGAAAAGTGTTCGCCAGAAAATATCACGGAGCACGCAACTTTTGCCCTTAACATTTTGGGGACACCCACGCGTTAGGAAATGATCGTATCAGAAGATGAACTGGTATCTACGATCGTGACGCAGAAAAATTCTATTCGTTATTTTTAGGATCGTTTCGTTATTTCCATTATTCGTGATATTAAAATGTATGGAGACGACTGTATCGAAAGGGTTAATATTTTATCTGTATACCTGGATCTACAGTGGTGGACAGAATAATTTTTTAAAATTTTGATTTTTTGAGAAATAGAAATCAACGATGATGAAAACGTTTCATTAGAAAATTCCGATACGATGCGATAAATCTGACGATTTGCCCGCTAGATATTAGTTAAAGAAACAGAGTGACGTTTGCCGGAAGCGGATACCACTAATAACGCGTGAAGGAATAACTGCATCGAAGCGTGAAGCAAAAAACATAAAGAATATCTTTGGAATAGCTTAAGCGCATGGAATTTCATTGAATAAATATCGCGATGGCGCCGTTTGGTATTTGGTCGGGCCTGACGTGGCGCCTAAACGCGCCGCGTGTCAACAAATTACTATTCAACCAGGCAAAATTCGAAGAAGGTAGAAGTGTCAGTTCGCTCGCGAGCCTTTTCACCGTTCGCGTCGGTTAATTTGCAACGAAATGCAAACGGGGACGGGGATGAAATTCGAACGAAAGCAGAGAAAAGGGACTGCCCACGTAATCATCGTACCTGGTTCTTTTCTCTTCTTTTTCTTTTTTCTTCGATCGCGACCCGACACGCTGGAAAAATTAGACTTTCGTCCGACGAAAATAGACCACGGATCACAATGCCATGACACAGATCGAAACAAAAAGAATTCTACGAAAAAAGTGGTTGAACCGTATAAAATTCCGGGGATCTCTTGCGACGAGTCGACCGAATACGGTATGATCAGTGAACCACAAGATCGTGAAATCAGTGATGCGTGCAATTTATGTTTGCATAAATGTGACGATATCCTCTTTTTATAAGCTGATGAATTATAAATTCATATTTTATTTTAATGTATAAAAATTTCATGCGATACGAAAACGTAAGAAGAATGATTACAAAATATTCTTTTTAATATAATTCTTCAACATATTTTACTATGAATTCTTCTTAAGAAATAAAAATTTAAGTTTCGTCTCAGCATTCGAAACAATTCAGCGTCCATAAATGTACGGACCTTTTCATCTTTCATCGAACCATCGAGTTCGTTTATATGAGTCGTCTCTGGAACAATCAGATTCCGACAATTCTCGGAAGAATGATACAAAAGTCATTCATTCTTACAGCAGTTTTACCTGAAACTTCTTCAAATCCACTTTTCTTCGATCTCGTAAAATAGCGTTGAAAAGTTCTCGTAGCAAGGGCTTTCGTGGTATTTAACGAGCCGGTATCCTTGTCGGCAGGATGTTTTATTTGAGACTGTCGATGTTACTCGTGACATCGTTTATTCCTTTACGACGCTTGTTTCTATCTCTGAAACCGCATTGTACAAACTTTCCCGTTGTAATTTATCGAGCAAGATGGCTGCGATATTTCATCTCGTTTATACATAATTTAAATATTAATTTGTATATTATCCTTCTCTTTCGTTACTAGTGTTGCGTTTTAAAGAAATAAAAGAGCGACATCAAGTTATACTTTATCGGTGAAAACTCGATTCAGGCCGTTCTTTTAGTGGAAATATCGAATTTCGAACATCGAACAGGCGTGTAACCGCGGGTCTCGACCCTCGATATCGGGAATCGACTTTGGCCGATACCCAAAACGATCTGCAGATGCAGAACTCCAGCCAGTGATCTGCGAACAGAGGAAAGAGAACTGGCCGAGAAACGTCGAATTTTTCGGGTAGGCCTGATTGAGTATCATAATACAATATTCCTGTGCACTGATATCGAGTTTGCTTCCAGCCAAAATAATTAATCAGGAGTATTGTATCGGATAGACAAAAACAAAGAGTATCGCGATTTTTAGAATGAAATCAATAAACTTTCAAATTATCCATTTATAAAATAAAAGTGTCTGCATAATTGCATAATATGAAATGTGATTAGAATAATCAGATAGAAAGAAGATCGTCAAAATTAATTACAGAAATTAATTAATTATTTCAAGGGCTACCTTGCTTGATAAATTTGGTTTAAAAATTCAAAAAGATAATAGTAAAAATAAATTTTATTCATTATTTCTTGCCATAGCAAGGCTTAGATAGGTAGCTCAGGGTTGTAGCCCTCCTTAAACCTCCCCTTGGCCTGGCATTGGTTTAAATAGTTTTTAAGAAAGTGCTTTTAGAAACTATTTACACCGAGGTTTGTTGCGCTACAACCAGAGCCAAGGGTGAACGACCTCTTACTGTTTGATAGCATCTACTTGCTGTGCGCGCGATCGCGTGTCCACAGGTCCATCCTTCGGGAGGATGGTTCCCAGGAGGACGTCACGCGGGACCAAGAGGAATTCAGAAGTTAAGTACTCAGAGGAGGACGCGAAACGCACGCCTTGCGGACAGACGACATGATATATGTACGCGTAATGTAGCGCGATAACATGAGTTTCGGAGTAATTGTTTACGCGTGCCAAGTGAGTTATTTGGCACGTGGCCATGGCCGAGGGCAATGAGGGAGGCACCCACGTGGTCGGCCGACTGCACGCGGGATTTACTCTCTCTCCTTTTCTCTTTCCGTTTTCCCTTTACTTTCTTCACTCTCCCTTCCCAAGTGTAGGCACGTACCTTACAACAATCGAATAATATATACATGACAAAGAAGAAATTTTTATCTTCTGTTTCATAGAGTATTTTGCATTCGTTACGTAACATATTTGAATTGTTTGAATTGCCGCCCTGCTTTAGTTAAAACATTGACCGTCGCAGTGAAAATAGCTATGTTTAGTCAGACACGTTTTGATTACAGTCAGTTATCATTAATAATGTCAGTTTTTTTAGTCAAGAGGTCAATGGAATCTTGAAAATTGTGGGAGTAGTGCTCGAATAGTTTTATGGTGGCCCTAGTGTTGCGTAGTAAACGGTGTAATATAATTGTTATGTTACACTCTAGGGATCGCGTGCTATAGTCGCAATATATCAGTTCGCGTCTTGTATTATTATATAATGTCGGGAAAAGTTTATAACAGTGCTGCGTATATGGATTGTTTTAGTTTGGTGATAGAGATTTGGAAAAGGTCAATGTCGTGTTGCAAGGTGTTGACCAAAATGCAGATTCTACTAATGGTGTCGTGATGACCACATCTAGAGGCGAAACGTAGAGGTTACAAAAAAGGTTGGCGTCCCTAGTGCTGCATGGAGGTAAGTAAAAATTAATCATCCATAGTAGCGCAAATAATAATTACTTTAAATGAGTACAATTTGAAATTAAGTACAAATGCTTTGATATTTTTACATTTTGGTACACCTATAGTGAAAAATTTCCTTTGTGCTTTCCACATTGAAAAATAGTTTTGGTGTGTACGTTTATTCCAAAGAAAGCGTAAATATTAGTTTTCGCGTTAAAATGTATCAGCATACCCGAATGAAATGTTGATTCTTTCGCTAATGATTAAATTGAGTTACGAGATCGAAGGATGATTTTTCAACGGGACGGAGAGTATGGACATTGAAATTTCCTGACATTCTCTTATTGTCTGAAATCTTTTTAACTCGGCGAAGTAAATGGGTCGAGGACTGCATCCTAGCTGATTTATATATCGTTGAATCCCTCTTTCCTTGAAAATCTCGCGACTCTCGTTCGGTGCAACGAAATCTAAATCATCAGTGACGTCATAAATCCAACGAGTTCAGGATATTGTTACAGGAAGTCGATCGATTGCGTCACGCATCCTTCTTTTCGGAAAGTAAATTCAAACGGGAATTACCCTCGAATGTCGTCGATGAATTATACGAAGGAAACAACGGAAAATGTCGAGAGAGAAGTTCCTGTTGCGCGAAAAATAGAACCGTTTGTGGCGACGTAACGACAATCCTGAAAATAACATTAAATATATATCTAAAGCAAAATGATCCAACGAATTGTAAACAAAACGAAAAGAACGACGAGGCAATTTATTCGTGACAACGGACCGTGTTATGACCCTTCAAAATTTCACTGATCCGACTTTCTTCCGTCTTCTTCGAGAACTTAACTTCAAAGATTTATCCTTAGGAAGCGACTCGATGAAAGTATGGCGTCACTTATCCGCCGCGACGCTTACCGTAACAATGAAATTTCAAATGCCGTGATTTTTCCCTTCCAAAAATACCCTCGATACAATGCTCAACTCGCGAGCGTTCTTTTTTCTCATCCAAGACTAACGACGTTTTATAAAACGAGCGAAGCCACGTAATTGCTTGCCAAAAGTAAGATTATGACTTCGCTGGAGATGCAAACATTCGGCGATCCGTGTTTCGATGAAATTCATCGAGGCAAAACCTTGGAATTTCGCTTGTTGCGTCACCAAAAACGTCGCCACTCTAATGGGTGAACTAGAAAATTTCCAAGTGGTAGATTTCGTCAGCGACGCGTGTTTCGTTTCGTCAGCAACCGTGTGCTTTCATGCGATAGTAAATTGCAATTTTTATTGTTACGACGTTTAATGTCGTATCGTTTTTGCATGACATTGGAGGTCGTGGATTTTAATGTCATGACACTGTGACATTTCTATGTGGATGCTCCTACGCGGTTCGTCTAGTAACTTAGGTGACGAAATTAAGGAATTCTTTAATCAGTAGGATTAATATGAAATGGGGAAAAATAATTTGAACGCAAAATATTGTAGCAATTACAATTATCCCAAAGGGGGTGAACGGATATTTAACAATTTTATAATTTTCATTTATGTCTGAAGCTCAAGACAATCTGTCAGCTAGAGGGTAGAAATATTTAGGGTTCACTAAAAATCGCGGCTTCTACACTCGTGCCATTTTTTCAGATATTTTATGCACTTTTCTCGTGATATTACAGTTACCAGTCCAAATCAAATGTCATGAGTTCTAAATAACAAAAGTCACGAGTTTATTATTTCATTATTATTAAAAATCTACCCTTAAGAAGAATCACACTGTAGTAGGGAAGCGTCTATCGAAAGAAAGTCGTCGAAGAAATGGAGATTCATTTTAGGGAGAAATACTGGTCCGCGCGATAAAGTCCTTGGTCCTTGGTCCGCGAGGGTGGCGGCGTCGTCGGTGACGGCGCTGTCGGGGGAGGCGCGACGGAGACGGTGGCGTCGTTGGCGGGTGGCGATGGTGGGGGTACGAAATAAGGGTAGTTTTCAGAGGTGGGGGCGGAGGTTCGTCAGTTTCCGGGTTGTTCCGGAGTGAGTTGAGGGCGTCGTGGGGCGTCGCGGGGGGAGGGAGGGCAGTAGGAGCCGCGGGCCACGACACGACGAAGCGTCGCGACGTCAGTAGAGCGCCGCGCTATCGACCACCGCCACGAGACACCGTCGTCGTCGTCGTCGTCGTCGTCGTCGTCCTCCTCGTCCTCGTCCTCGTCTTCTTCTTCTTCTTCTTCCTCCTTGTCGTCCTTCCTGGTGATCAGCTCGCGTGTTCGGATCAGTGTTTGTCGAAACGGGGCCGATACTGGTAACCAGGAGAAAGAGGATAACGAAGGATCCACGACGTGTTAAGGAAGCTTCGATCCTGGTCGATTTGTTCGCGAATTTAACCGGACGCGCCACGAGGATCGCACGGCGGCGCGTTGCGTGCACGCGTGTCGTTCGCACGCGTGTCCGTCGACGAGTAGTAAACGGGACGCCAAGGTCGTGCCGCCGGTTAACTGGGTGCGTGCGTGAATACACAGTTAAACCAGCGTCGTCTCGGTACCAACAGCCACCCCGTGTGAGACCCAATGACTGTCCATCCAGGGACCACAGGAGACACATGTTCGTTATAAGGTCAGTGCACGAAATCTACACCGGTGTCCTCCTATCTGCCTCGATCACCGCTACTTCTCTTAGTTTACTTCGCGATACCACACTGGATACCACTCTGAAGACAATGCGGACGCGATCGAGGATTTTTCACGTTGCTGTTAAACGGTAACGGATTTTACACATCATGCTTTGCATTTGCTCTTGTGATACCAACTTGTTTTCCTTGAAGTGTGACTCGAACGAAATTCTACTTGTGCAATTGTTAACACTTTGAGTGTTCCTTTTTCAATGAATTCGTTGTACAAGGTGGACCAGTAGTTACCAGCATCCTAATTATTTGGAATATTATCAGAGTTAGAATAATTTTGGGACGAAGGTGGATACTGCGTGATGATAACATGTTTTTCGTTGGAGCTGTTTAAAATGTATGAACCTTATCTTGGTCCTTTTTAATGCAATGTACGCTGTGGGGATCGCCGGTGACCGGTATCAAGAATTTAACCCGGAGAATTATTTCTGGCTTTTTGTAATCTACCGTAATAGATAGGGGAGGAAGAATTTTTCAGTCTAATTTTGATACGATTTTGATAACGGTTTCATTTTGTTAACTCTTTATCCAATTGGATCAATGGTTCACTTTTGCGTTGAGTGTTGACTGTTTCCCTAGATTTCAGCAGTTCATAATGAACTATATACAGAAAAGTGCTTTGTGATCGTGGATGTTGCGTTTCAGACTTGATTCGCATCCAACCACCTGATACAAAATTGCAACTTCATGCAAAAATGTGGTTAACCCATTTCTCTTTCTTCTGTGTCTTTCCAAGTTGTCTTAAGTGCTTTCAAACGACGACCTTATTTAATTAAATGGGTGATTTTTCAAGAACATGAAGTCAAAATTGGATAATTGTTAACTTTTTGTAATAAAGCAAAAGAAAAATCTTTTTCTATACAGTGTACTTTTCATTTGAAAAATATCATTTTAATTATTATAGTTTTCGAAAAATTAGTGATAATAATCACTGGTCCACACTGCAACATTCCTATGATTTTTAGCTCTTAAACAATATTTCAAATATTTAACAACATTGTTTGTAAAGCACTCAAAGTGTTAATTTCTTTACGCTTCTCATATACAGAATGTCCCGTATAACATGGTACTACGCTTTGGGTCTGATTCTACATGCAAATATAAATTGAAAGTGTAAAATAATACCTTTTCGTTTTCTCAAAAATGAAACTGGATATACCAAAATTTTATTCAACATTTTTGACTTATAAATAGTAGCAAGTAGTACTACGTTATGCAGGGCAGCTGGTGTATAGTACGTTCCAAATATTTGCATTGTTTTATGATCGTAAATAGTCACTATTATCTACACTATAGGTACTTATATTCAGACAACAAACAAAATTAGCCGAACTATAGTTATGAAATAGTAAAAAATAGAAAGAAGTTTCATTAGATAAAATTAAACGCTATCAATTGGAGCATCACGTAATTCATACATCAGCTCCGGAAGTGGGGGCGTTTTAAAGATTTCCGAGTCATCTTCACTGTTTTAAATAGAACTGCATATTCTTTTTTTACGTGAATCGATTCTTTCGAATCTTCTACTTTGAACATACTGTTACAAAATCAATAGTTTTTGTCGAGGTCAAAATCGTAAATTTAATTGCCAATCTAATAGAATAACACTTTTGATAGATTATTTTTTCAATTACCATTTTTCAAAATATAATCTACATGATATAGTAAATTTATATAAAGTAAAAAATAATAATATAAAAGTCAAAGTACGTAAGCTATCAAGGTATCAAAGCAGAGACATAATAAGGAGAATGCCACAGTGAAAACGGCCGTGTATAGTCAGACATAATATAATTCCAATTATGCAATTTTTCAGTTTAAGCTTTTCTTTGGATACCTTGAGTGAGTGATATATATTTAATGTAATTTATAATTTAAAAACAATTTTTTTCTCTCAATTATTCAATTGTATTAAATTCATGGATCATTCACCAATTAGCCCCATAGTACACTGGGGAGAGAACTCTATTATTTTCATTTTCTAAATTTTCCAAATTTCTAATTCATCAATAATTGAGAAAAATTAACAAAATATAGATAATTAGAATATCAGCATCGAATGATTAAAACCTACGAATTTTTCATTGGTGACGTAAATTTTCGCTAATGCAAATTCGTCTTGACACGTAAACGTGAATTCATCTTCATTATTCCCGATTCCAAATAAGATTCTCGTTAACTAAGATTCGCCGTTTTAAATCCTTCGTTGCTCCACGGGAAGATGGTTAATGAAATTACAGAGAAAAACAAGTAGAAAAGAAAAGGATACTTCTCCCGATTAAGAGTTCAATCTGAATTAAAAGGATTTCGAACCTGCCAAACTTGAAAGGCTGCCAGTGCTTCCGGTCTCTGGG